TGTGTGGCTATAAACGACTGTTAAATGGAATGATGAATTGTTGAAGGATTTTGAAGACGGAAAAAATGATAGTCATGACGGCCCAGCATCCTCAACATTGAAAAATGCCCTGGCACGAAGTGGTTAACCTACACCAGAATAACCCTCACAATAACCAGGTAACCCTCAGAGTGATCAGGGTAGCCCTCAAGTCTAAATAAATAATCTACTGATGGCCCATAACTGATAAGTCTTGACCACACAAGCAAATACAATCTCTGTAATCATCCAACACAACAGTGTAGACTTATACAACAATAATCTCTACTGCCTTACAAAGCAACACAGTTCCCAAACTGCAACAAGGTTTAATGCGACTTAAATAACCCTCACCCACTTCAAGTTATTATGAAATAACACAGGTAAGTTGATTAAGAAGGCGATTATAATAGTCCTCACCGGATTCTAACGGAAATCTGCACCCAGTAAACCTCAACGAGGAAAGCAAGCTCCCAGACCAGGACCGCAACCAACCGTCGCTATGCCAACAAGCATAGAACAACGGCACACAATCCTTCTAGTCTAAGCTTCGTTAATTCCCAATTAACTGGTTCACTCAGGTTCCCTAACCCTATAATCTACCTAATCTAGGTAGATTACAGCTTGAGGCAAGGTAGTGTCCATGCTAGCTTGGGATAATCGGTTGTTTTAGGTTGTTATGTACAACCTCCCTCTTTGTGTTGTTTATAAGGCAAGTGCCAGGCTAGGAATGATTTCTTAAAGGAATAGGAGCCTTGGCCACTGGAATTCTCAAAGTTGTTACGGTGTATAGTGTACTCGTAGGATTCCTAAGAGTGTTCATTGACTCAAGTATGGAAAAGGACTAAGTCTTTGAATAGTAATCTATTTGCTATTCTTGTACATAAAAGTTCAGAGTAAATTTTCTTTTGATATCATTCACATGATTGAGTTTATTCATTAAAAATGACTTGTGGCAGAACCTTGCAAGTGAACAGTACAGACATTCAAGGTGTCTCTTCCTTCCCTCTGTTTTACATATTTTGTTCACCAGCCTCAGTCAACCTGCCCGCATATTACATTTTGGAGGCAGGAGAGGGATGAGCATGT